AAATGGCGGGGTTGTGATTGGGAAGGGGAAGGGAGCCGTGAGCAAGGGTTAATGAATACAGGCCACATCGATCTGCTTCCACCGGCCTTCTCTCTCACACCATCCACTGCTCTACTCTCAGGCCAAATGCTGTTCCAGCACTTTTATGACCTGCCACACTAAGCACGGGCTGAGTTGCGAGGAATACACAGAGGTAGGAAACATCGAGCACTAGTAAAATGCAACGGTAATGGTTAATACCATCAGCTAATTACAAGTTTTAGCTCAGGTGGTAGCTGTAATTACTAAATGAGGTAAAGCTGTGTGGTTCAAAAAGTTACATAAAAAGTTAAAGCAAAGAATTTTCACAAGAGCATTATGCATGTGTTATCATTTCTGCGTATTTGAATATGCATGAGTATGCCAGGTTCCAAATAATGAAAAGCATGCAAACCTTTGTGCAGACACCTATGAACTCTCTAATTTGTTATCAGTTTGCTGTGACTGTGTGACTATGCTAAGTCAAAATGTTGAATATGCTGGCCATGTGAACAATAACCAAAGTAACTGCATAACATCCTGTGTCTGCACATGTCTGTGTTAGTGTCTGAAGCCTTAGTGACCGGTGGTGACTGAGGTAGTGTTAGCGTTAGCGACTTGCAGTAGCACAATTTGCATCAGCCTATCAGAGTTTTTAGCAACAGCAAATCTGTTTGGTGCTTGACCTGGGGTTCAGCTCACAATGACTGCCTCCATCTTTTAACCCTGCAAAAGGAGCAACTGTTACCAGTCATCATCTTTCAGTCCACATAGTTAAGGGCCTTTTATAGTCTGGTAAGAGCAGCAGGGTTAATGAAGTGACAGCATTGCTACAGATGACTTGAAGCACATTCAGAGCCGCCTAGTGTCATAACTTGAACCTTTGGTGTTGTTCGGAGAACCCTCATAGACTGATTGGGCACTACATTTACACTAAGTCACAAAGACTTATGCATCAATAATTAACGTTATTCAACAACCAGTTTGTCCACTGGGATGATAGCAAGTTGCTTGCTCAGTACTGACCTGACACATTGTTGTCATTCTGTTATATGACACCCAGCTTTTAGGCCAACACATATTTGCACATTACTCTTATCTGTGTCTTGCACTGCCCAAGACATTTCATGGACTGTATTCCTTGTTCTGAGACTTTCTGCAGTACTGAGTCTTGTCTGTCTTTAAACCTCGTAAATAGCTTTTTTCTCTTTGGGGTAATACGGGCCAGAATATTGCTCCTCTTTTCCATGCAATGACTGATTGTAACTGGAGTTTAAACTTTGACAGATCTTGCATGAGAAGAGGGATTGGCCCTGTGCATTTTTTTGTAATTCAGGGACTACCTCAACAAATATTTAAGAAAGATCTCTGACACAGCTTTAGAAACCATACATGTATGGCCAGCTGTGACTGAACACATCAGAGGATAGCTTTGTGTTTCTGATTACTGTACATTCTAGTAATGTTTCTTGCGTGTTTCTATGTTTGCTTCAGTAAGCAAAAGCATATTTTTTAATCAGTTTTTCCATGTAGTGCTGATATTACCATAAGGGGATGATTTGTTATGGATATGCTCAGAGTTGTTTAGCTCTCTTCTCAAGATTCCTTATTTTTAATTCTTTGAAGATTTCTTTTGAAAATGAGATTTTAATCTCTATGAGACTTTTGAATTGGATAAATAAAGGATAAACAGAACAGAAACAGAAAAAAACAGCAAGTGGTCTTTAAGCGGATATGCAAAATAAAATGTCTAACAGTATATGTTAGTAGTAGGTTTAAAATATAAGGCTACTGACTGGCCTGCATTAAGAAAAAGAGCCTACAAAATAACAGAATAATGAAGGCAATAATGACAGTGCATGACAAAAGAGATCAATACATCTGTGATCAGTGGGGAAATAGTTTCTGATTTACACACATATTTGCCTCATTAGCCACTCATGTCATTAATAACTATGAGCCAAAACAGCTTAACAACTCATAGCTGAAGTAAATTATCTTGGAAAAATGGTGCATGTCCAAACCTGATATAACTTTGACAGTTATTGACCAGTCACTTATTATATGTGTGTTGGACATAATATAAATGTGCAGTGCAAAGAACTGAAAAACTTTGACAAGAGCCAAATTATTAAGGAATGGGTGCGAGCACCTCAGTGACAGCACATTTTGCAGGGAGCTCCCAGTCAGCAGTGGCGAGAACTGTTTACACCAACAGAGATCTAAAAGGAGCTCAGCCCTGAACCAATGACAATGTGTTGGAAAATGTGCTGGGCTTTTCACAAATTGCTGTGTCTCAAACTCCCAACTTCCAGATTATAAAGGCCCTGCTGCTTATCCAATGGTGCCAGAAACTACAGAGCTCCTGCAGATGTATATTAGGTGTTGGCAGTTGTAGTATTTCTGGTGTGCACATTGTCAAAAACAAAACACAGACTCTTTACTTAATTCATTCCTGTATAACAGACCCTATTATTTATTTTAGGGTCTAAAATGTCTCTAAAAATATTCACAAGCTCTTATTTGAAGGATAATAATTGAATAGATAACAATTTTTTAAAGGGGTTAGGGTTAAAATGTAATTATGTTCTAACAGAGTAAGTTACAGCTAACTACACTTTCATCAGACTGCGTATGATGCACTGCACACTGTATTTTTATTTGCAGATGGCAGTTAATTCTGGACCCAATTTCACATATTCATAGGAATGTATTCAGTAACTGTGAATGACGTTAGCCTAAAAATATGAAACAATATAAACAGATTAAAAAAAAGAAAAGAAAAAAAACAGACAGATGACAAGAGAACCATAATGACATCAGGACACAACATCATATATTCAGTGTCCTAACTGACCTTTCTCTGGCCTCTGTAATAGCATTAACACAGCAGTTAAAACCATGGCCATCAATTATCTGACCATCCTTGTTTGCACCATCCTTAACAAATAGTTTATAATTTCCGCATGCCACTCAACATACTCTTCCTCTCTCTCTATTTCTTTTTCACCTCCAAAGTTCGTTTTAAATCACAACATCTAATGGGAATAGAACAGGCGCATGAGCTGCATTTGGCACATTGTTGAAATTCTCTTCCAAGCTACCTGGCTTGTTACCTCTAGAAACACAGATGCGAGTGAGTGTTTTTTTTTTCAGCCTTTGTTTTTTATCTGTTATTCCAGTCTTCTCAAAGTCATTCTTTGATGCATAAAACAAAGTGAGATATAAGTTTCATTTATTCCCTTTGTTGCTCATGCAGTGGTTTTACTCCTAAATATTGTAGGGCGATGAAGGACAGACATGATGGTTAAGTTGATGGCATTGGCCTCACTCCTTACAATTTTGTGATGATAAAAATATAACAAATATATATATATATATATATAACACAAAAATAAGAAATGACATACAATGTGCATACATTTTGTTGCTGACATGTACATAGCAGTGATTTGCTTAACAGTGTAAAGCAAATCACTGTAAGACCCATACCCATGCATACTGTATCCATGTGCTTTCAGTTTTCTGAAATGGAGCAGATAATTGTTTTTTGCTTATGACACGAAGAATTAGAATAAAACTGTTGAAATTGAAATGGATCCACTCTTTACTATTTTATTAATAACTATCCAAAAGATAAAGCTGAGCATTATCATTTATTTAGTGTGATATTTTATTTATGTTTACATATGTTAAACAGGGGACCACATATAAACACAAACATTAAACCTTTGGTATATTTATGTAAATTACAGCTTACATCCATTTAATTTATTTATGATTTTTTTCCTCATTATGGTTTAATACATGCGCAAGTTTGTCAACAGCATCTTAACGCGATAAAATGTTGCGTTTATTTTCATAAATTGGAATTGACTGTACCTTTTTGCAGGTATGGTGCCCAACAGCAATGTGCATGTGTAAGGATGGGGAGGAAGAGAGAGGATGTGGTCATTAACCAAAGGCAGTGAGGGAGATTCCTTCTCCTGCATTCAAATGATGCTTAATCCAACACTATCAACACGCCTCTCGTACCTCCTACTCCTCACTCATAATCCTCATCTTTCTTTTGCTCCTGCTCTTGTGCCATTTTTCTTAGGAGACTACAGTGCAGTACTTTCCCTCATCTGTCTCCCTCATTCTTCTTCTCTATCCCTATTTATCTCATTTCTTTCCTCTTTCTATAGGCTCCTTTCCCCTATTTCACCAAGGACATGAATATATCTCGCTCCTAGCCCAGCCCCCCCCCCCCCCCCCCCCCCCCCCCCCCCGGTCTCCCGGTAAGTCTCTTTTCCTTCTATCTGTCTGTCTTTCTCTCATCATTCCCAGAGATAACTGCATGCAAGCGCTTTCATCTTTCTCCTCCCTGAAGAGAAGACTGCCCAGCCGACAGAGGAGCATAGTCAGCGTTTCAGTCCTTTATGATGTCACAACCCCCCCGATCCAATACCCTCACTTCCAAAACACCCACACACATAATACGTCCACACAAGTGACACAATAAGAAAGTCAAACCCATCATAAGAAAACAACTCTGTTTATTTCCCCCTTATGGCATCAATAACAAGTGAGGAAAACACTCCTAAAACTGTGCTTTACAAGACGGACAGCTGCATCTCCACTGGAAAACTCTGGTGCACTGTTTCGCTGATGAGACAGAGATAGAGAGAGAACTAAAGAAACTCTAAAGTTAACCTAGAAAGTCTGACCATTTGTCTCTAAATCATAGATCGGAATGCATTTTTCATTTTTAACAACTGGTTGTGAAGAGCTGTGTCTAGACAGATGGCAGGAGAAGGGACGACTGGCACAGGTAAAGTGATCCAGAGAGCGAGAGAGAAGAAGGACGGTGAGGGACAGAGCATGTGAGAAACTCTGACACAGAAAGAGAGAAAGAAAGAAAGAAAGGAGAAAATGGTTATTGTGAAGGGAGGGAGATGGGGGAGGAGGGGAGGTTGTATGTGTTAATACACAGGAACACTGCATCAAACCAATGCACTGCTCTGAGGCTGGCTGAGCAGCTATGAGGAGTGCGTCAGCAGTACATTCACGTTCCCACTGAAGGACAAAGGGAGGGGGCAGAGCGAGCATCTTAGCTGCCTGCAACACCGACACACATCGAAGGGGGGGAATAGAGAAAAAAGAGAGATTGGAGAATAAACAAGAAGAGGAGATGTGGATTAGAATGCTGCTCCTGCTGTTTCTCTGACGGTGGGCTGCCTGTTAGAGCGCTCGCGTGCCTCTCCATCTCTCTCTCTCTCTCACACACACACACACACACACACACACTCTCTCTCCTTCGCACACTCTATCTTTTTCTTGCTCTTGATCTGTCAGTGGTTCTCTCATTCATTCTCTTTCGGGCTCTCTTTCCCCTCTTTTTCTCTCTCTCTCTCTTCTACTCTGGCTACTGCAGTAGTCCACCAGCCAGCCGCAAGTCTGACAGCCACACACATGGCTAACTGCCACAACTTACTACCTCAGTCCTGGAGAAAAAACTAACAAAAAAGCAAGCAGAAGACCACTGCAGGACGCAGCCTGGGGGACAAAGAGCAAGCGGAGAGAAGGATCCTCAACACCATTCTCTGCTTATGGATACAGATACGGAGCCCACTTCCACACACATCCTTCAAGCGTAATCCTCTCTGCATTCTCTCATTTCAGAAGAGGACAAGTGCTCTCTCTCTCTTCCGACAGCCTTTTGCGAAGCTCCAACAGTGCAGCGTATCCTCTTCTACACCCCCCACACAGCGCCACCATCTCTCCCACCACCCCCACCCCCCCTCCCCCCAGGAGGAATAGACGGATTACTGCTAGCTGTGCACACAGCAGCCTGCAGCTGCTCTGACCAGGGCCAGCCCAACATTGGGAGGAAGCAAGAGGAACACAGAGGAGGAGAGGAGAGGAGAGGGGGATGACTGTGCCGGGAGTTCTTTAGCCTTTTTCTGTCTCTCAGTCTCTGTCACAACAGGGCTAATCAGCGACCGACAAGCCCTTGGCAAAGTCACAGTGAGGGAGGTCTCTCACCCAAACAGGCGACCAGCCGGACGAGCCAACACATGTATCAGGACCTGACAGAACTGAGGATTTTTATTCATTTCACTTGGTCACTTCTTCTCTCCTCTTCTGTCGTGTTTAACTGCGTTATGGATCGTTGTGATTTATCTATAGTGCAGCTGCATTTTGGAGTCTGCTGCCTGGCAGAGGGACAGTTGGTGGGGGCAGAAGGAATCTGGGCACCTGCTAAGCCTTCATGGCCTTACTGCTGTCTGTGAGTGTTTTCCATGCTGCTCTCAGTCTTTAATATCAGGAGCCATTTTGTACCCTTGGCTAATAGAGGGCCACACTACTTTCTTAAAAAAGGAAAAAGAAGAAACCATCTATCTCATGCCATTCTGTGGAAAGGAATTACACATGAATGCTGTATGTGACTGTTGTGCTTAACATTTGGAAAGAGGCAAAAAGGAGGACTTTCAAACTAATGAGGTACGTCACTGAGACTGTTACTCAACCTATTTCTTACATTGCTGCATTGCTTTTCTTCTGTTTCTTCTCTTGTATTAATCTCTCTCACTCTCTCTCCTTATCTGTCCTCCTTTTTTTCCCCTTCATTCCCTCACAAAACAATTTTGATGCAGCATCTCCCTGCACTGTCGATGGAACTTTGGAGCCTTGAGTTGCTCCAGCCAGGCTAGGGTGGTCTGTCATTTGGTGTGTGCCATATCCCCCCACCATGCAGAATAATGAGCCCTCCACACCATGAGTCCTCTGGGCCAGGTTAGTGTGCAGCCTACCTGGAATGCAGCCCTGCTCGCCGTGCTTTCCCTCATGGTGCCTGCCTTCACTATGTGCCAGTCCACAGGCCCTGAGTTCGGCTCAGCTAAGCCACAGAACTGTCCAGGTGTGTGCTCCTGCACTAACCAGCTCAGCAAGGTGGTGTGTACCCGCAGAGGGCTGATTAGGGTTCCTCCTAACATCCCAGCCAACACCAGGTACCTGAACCTAATGGAAAACAGCATAGAAACCATACAGGCAGATACATTTAGACACCTGCATCACTTGGAGGTACTACAGTTGGGCAGGAATGCTATCAGGCAGATTGAAGTGGGGGCCTTCAATGGTCTAACCAGTCTCAACACCCTGGAGCTGTTCGACAACAGACTGACAGTCATACCTAGTGGAGCTTTTGAATATCTATCAAAGCTTAGAGAATTGTGGCTTAGAAACAATCCCATTGAGAGCATCCCCTCTTACGCCTTTAATCGTGTCCCCTCACTCATGAGACTGGACCTGGGAGAGCTGAGGAAGTTGGAGTACATCTCAGATGGCGCTTTCGAGGGCCTTCACAACCTGAAGTACCTGAACCTGGGGATGTGCAATCTGAGGGAGTTTCCCAATCTTTCACCACTGGTGGGATTGGAGGAGTTGGAGATATCAGAGAATGTTTTCCCTGAACTGAAGCCTGGAGCATTCCGTGGCCTCAAGAATTTACGTAAACTATGGATTATGAACTCTGCCATTACTATGATTGAAAGGAATGCATTTGATGACATCACAGCCTTGGTGGAGCTTAATTTAGCCCACAATAACCTGTCGTCTCTCCCCCATAACCTCTTCACCCCCCTGCAGTATCTGGTGGAGCTACATCTTCATCACAACCCATGGCGATGTGACTGTGATGTAGTGTGGCTCTCTTGGTGGCTCAGAGAATACATTCCCACAAATTCCACCTGCTGTGGACGCTGCCACACTCCAGTCCACATGAGAGGACGCTACCTAGTGGAAGTTGATCAAACAACCTTTCAGTGTTCAGCACCATTCATACTTGATGCTCCAAGAGATCTTAACATTTCAGCAGCGAGGGTGGCAGAGCTTAAGTGTCGCACAGCTGCCATGAGCTCAGTACGATGGCTTCTCCCTAATGGAACTGTTTTGACCCATGGCTCGGCTCATCCAAGAATATCTGTCCTTAATGATGGAACACTTAATTTCTCCAATGTTCTCCCATCAGATACAGGTGTTTACACTTGCATGGTGAGCAACATGGCAGGAAATTCCAACGCCTCGGCCTACCTAAACGTCAGCAATGCTGAACTCAATACATCTAATCTGTCCTACTTTACCACTGTAACGGTGGAAGTTTTGGCGCCCACAGTGGAGGAGACCCCTAAACCCAAGCCCACTGTCCCTGCATCACCCTCTGTATTTCAACCCGTCTTTATCTCCACACCTACTGTGCTATTTCAAAACACTCAGACTCCAAGGCAGGTATCAATTCCCACTGCCAGAGTCCCTAGTGAGCCAGCTGCCAGCCTGGATGAGGTGATGAAAACCACCAAAATCATTATTGGGTGTTTTGTTGCTGTTACCTTGCTGGCAGCTGCCATGTTAATAGCGTTCTATAAGTTGCGCAAGAGGCATCAACAGAGAAGCACCGTGGCAGCAGCCAGGACCATAGAAATCATACAGATGGAGGAAGAAGTTCCTCCTGTTCCACCGCCCACATCTGGATCTAGTGGCTCTGATGACACAGGTTTAGTACTGCCTACACTGGTGGAACACAACAGCAACACCTTTAAGCCTGGGTATGTGTCCTCCTCATCCCGCCAGGGCGGTTACGGTGCCCATTGGACTCAGAACAACTCTCTTCACCGCTCTGTTAGACAGCATCACAGCCACATCAGCACCATTGCTGATCCCTACGTCATTAAGACTACTCATGGCAAGGACAAGGTTCAAGAGACCCAAATCTGAGTACGCTCCCTATGGATTTATGTCTGACTCTGTCCGAACCTCTCCCCTCATCTCTGCTCACCAGTCCATGCAATAGAATGCACAAAGAACAGAACGGTAACTTTCTTTTGTACAGAAGTGCAAAACAGAGACATTTTTTGTTTCTTGTACATGCCTATACATAAGTATATAAATATGAAAAAAATAAATAAATATATATAAATAAAACTACCGTCAGGCAGTGGTGAGACATGCAAATTATATTAGAAAAGAAAGTAATTTGAAACTATTTTCTAATAACTGGTGACTTCTATTTAAAAAATGGATAATTAATTGCTTTTTTTTTTAAATGAAAAAAGGAAAGTTGTGATGTCTAGCATAGGAAAAGAGGCATTTAGTTTGTTTTCGACCATATTTAGGAGGCAGTAAGAAGCTCTTTGCAAAGGCACCAGTTTCTAAATCCAGCCCCAAATGGAAGCTCCAGTTTTAACTGTGCCAAATATTATATGCAATAAAATGGTATTTCCAAACTAAGGAGTTTAAAAACACACAAAGCAAATTCTAGATAGATACAAACATTTGTCCAATAGCAGCATAATGGCACAGATAGATTGTGCTGTTCAGTAGCTATCAGCCAAATGCTTTTGGACTGCAGTGAAATTCTGCAGCTAAGGTTTAACCCTCTGTTCGCTGGAGTTCAGCAGCGTTTATTTGACAGTGCCAGTGCTTCTTAGTTGTAGCGTATCTAAACATGTTTATTTAGTGTGCACATGATTCCCCACTGGTTTAACTGGCAAATGTGGAATGCAGGCTAATAACAATTGTTGCAAATATGTTGTTCTGTTATTGTTTGCATTTTGTATTATTTTTTTCCCTTAGGTTTTGACATGCTTCTTATTGGCTTGTGTAGTGTTTAGGGCTAATTTAGTAATGCATTACAGCAGTTGCCTGACTTGTCTCCGCAAGGGCTCATTCCGATGCTAATTTTTCAAAGGAACAGACATGTGGTGAAGTGATACAGGGCTTTGCTGACCATTCTGCTTTTGGAGAAAACAAAGAGGGTTGAGTTAAAACAAAATGAATGTCTGATGATACCGGGACTTTTCCATGGACTACATCGAAAAATTACTTTGTGTTTCTTTTTCTTTTAATGTTTTATTTTTAGCAACACTATTTTTATGGAGAGACAAAGGAGGCTATGAAAAATAAAATCTTTGGTTTGTATTTCTCTAATCAGAAACACTTTCATCTAATGTTTTTCTTTTCTTCTCTCTGAAAATATTTCCATTTGTGTGTAAGTTGTTTAATTGTAAAGGCTGGAGGTAGTATTGTAAATCGTATCTTAGCCAACACCCCCATCTTACGGTCCTATGCATTTACTTAGTGTCTGCATGAATGGGTCTTTAAGTAACTGGTGTACAATGCTGCATTATACCCCACAGTGGGGCTCTATGCAGGTCAGATAGGCTGTTGGTCTTTGATGCCTCAGCTTAGTTCTTAACATTGATTTCTCAGTGACTGTGAAGGGAAAAAATACATGTATCCCACAGTTCTACGGTTTGTGGGTTTCTTTTCCTTACGCATTCATCCGCAGGTCATACCTCTTACCTGAATGTGTCATTTATGGAACAAAGAGAAATATATTGGGGGTTTTAATGATATGAGTCCAACATTATTTTTCTTCAGCAAAACAAGTATTGCATTCCAAATGCAGTCTCAATATATCACTTAAAAATGAGAAAGCAGGCATATTTTTAGTTTTGTTTTTGTTTTTTTTCTTTTTGCAGATGCTGTATGTGTCAGTGCATTTCTGAGCAATCTGGTCTTGACATCACGCAGCTAAAAGGCCAGCTACCATAAATAAGCGTGGGCAGTCTGTGGTGACTGAAACGGCTTACCCATGATGTTATACTGTTGCTCTTCATACAAACACTCATCAGTCCTCCTTATTTCATACTGATTTTGACAGATGCTGTTCAACCCTCCACATTTCTGGTCATTTCAGACTTTTATGTTGCAGTGAAAAAGCGCTCCTGCTGAGACTATTTAGGGATGAAGAGGAAATTAAAGTATGACCCTTTTGATAATTATGGTGCATGTTGAGTTGACAGGAACACCAATGCTTCATTTTAAAGCTCCAGGCCAGCCATCCAAGACGCTTAATAATTGGTTTTAAAGGTACTGGGTGATGTAATATATAGATACTTAATTTACTATGACATTTACACTAACGTGACTGCATTACAGTTTGTTTCTGGTGCAGTAAAAGAAAACAGGAACAACAGCTATGCATGGTTTGAAATATAGGTTGATTGAGGATGAGTTTTCTAAGGATAAACTCTTGTAAAAGGAAATTTTTTGAATTATACATATTGTTGCCTCTCATCCAAAGTCAAGCCTTTAGCCCCCTGTGACCCTGAAAAGGATAAGCGGTTAAGAAAATGGATGTATGTAAACAATGCTGTACAATATGTTGCAGGTGTTGATTAAATACCTCCAAATTTTTGAAGGTTTTCTAAATTCTCAATGGACAGTGAGGTGCTTGTGTTTTCTGGCAGCACACCTGACAGTGTCCAGGTAAGGAAGGGCCTCAATAAGCAGATGCAACTCAACTGTTTCTTCAGTTTCCTCAAGAAAATGCAAGGACGATCGGCTACTGAATATTCAGGTGCCAAACAGAATGTGGTGGCTGTTTTTTTGCGCTGGCAAAACAGAGTGTTCTTGGTTGTTAGAGTATGTGTGGGTTGAAAAAGAGCAGACTCTTATTATTTTACCCCAGCACAGCATGGTTCTTTGGCCGTGCTAGCATCTTCATAAGAGGCTACTGGCTGTTTGCAACGCCTTTAATGTGCCTGATAACCAGGCACATATAAACATTGACAACTACTTCCTTTCTTCTTCTTTTCTTCCTCCTCCGTCTCTTCAGTGTTAAGAGCAAAAGCAGAGGAAAGTCAGAAATCAACTTAGTACTATCAACTATTCAGTCAGTTTGCTTCCCTCTTGCTGTTTTTTTTTTTTGCTGTATGCCGCCTTGTTGTAAATAAGATAGGAAGATGGCGTGCCATAACTGCTGCCATCTCTGACTGTTTTTCAATTAGTGATTCAGTATGAAATAGATCGTGTTTGAAGGTTTATAGGCTCATCTGTTTGGTACACTGATTTGCATACTTCATTTGAACCCATTTGCTTTTTTCCTTCTTTTTTATTTACTAAAAGGTTAATGATAAAGTCAAATATATGATTACTTTGTTTAAGGAAGCCGCGTGTCACTAGCTCTTGTTCTTGCTTTACACTTTGCAGGATATGGAGGTAAGTAAAAATAATCTGTAACTTGCCACCATATGGGTGGATCTTATTCCAACTTGATAAGATCTGCAGAGAAACAAGTAAAAGGCTAGGATACGGCTCTATGTCTTGCATTCTATAAGGTTGAGGGTTTGTTTGGAACATGTGCTTGAGCCCATAGATCCATATCTGTTGATGAAGTCTCTTGCAGAAAAAAAGTGTTGGTCAGGTGGCAGAAATGCTGCCACAGTCTCTCCATTGACTGATGCCTTTTTGTGCCCACAGAGGGATTGTAATGACCCTTAGAAGTGAGAAATTGTCAGGACTCATCCTTCTCTCAACACTTGATTGGACTCTTTTATCATACTGCAAAGCTTTGGCCTGTGTCTTTGTTTTTTTGTTTTTTTGTTTTTAACTAGGGCAGAATGTGCACAAATTCAAAAGATTAAAAAATGTAAGGGAATTAATAACCTTGAATCACATTGTCAAAATAATATGTACAATGTTTTGCAATTTCACTGGCTATTGGTTTTGGATCGAGGAAAAATGAATACTGTTAATACATCAAAGAGAAAATGTAAATGCGAGAGAAGACACAGCAGCTTATATACATATAACCAGATAAATCTACAGTTAGTTGACAAATAAAAGGCCAGTGCAAAAGTTTGATTTTCGTTTTTTTTAGTTTTGCTAGATTGTATTTTGTGTTGCTGCAATTTTCCCACCAATTACTTTTTATGATTAAGCAAAGTACCGCAGGTACATTAAGCTAAGCCAATCATAAACTATATTTTCTGATTCAACTGCCAAGAAATTGTTGAAATTGTTGATGAGCCCTCATACCTCCACTAAATGAAAATCTGAATGTCTTCCACAAGGATATGTGGATCTGAATTATTTTATTTCATATTAATGTATTTTCTTAGAACATCAAGATGTCCCAGATTTTGCCTTAATTTTATATATGTTTTGCATATCAAACAAAATTTCTAATTGACCCCATCTCACCTTACATTTGTGAATCATATTCCATATACTTAAGTTTTTGATGGTTTCTAATTCCTCAACGATGCTGTGTACACCAGGTGAGTGGCCTTCTTCTTTGAAATAATGAAATAATGCTCTCAGTTTTACAACGCCACTATGAACAAAGTATGCCAGGTTTCTCCTATGCAGTAGAAAAGATGTGAGACTTCATCAGGACATTCACTCAGTGTTGGTCTGATTCAATGAAGACCATTAACATGTAAAGCCCTTGTGATATGTATACGTATACTAAATACGATTCCACAAAAAGGAAATAAAAAATAAAACATAAGGTAAGGTGTCACTACAATTATATTGCCTCAAAGTAGAGACGCAGTTTGCATCCTACTGAACTGCACTGCATTGTATAAGTCAGTGTCACTGGAATGTAGGCCACGGTACTCTCTTTGAACCACTGCAGCTCAGGATAAGGGATGGCAACTGGAGGTTGTTCCTGAAGGTTTAATTCTCTGTCAGTCCATCTGACACTCTTTATTTTTTTCCAAGGGGTGTATGTGTCTGTGTGTAAGTGCCTGTGTATGTGTGTGTGTGTTTTCAGTGTCTTCTAGAGTCTGTCATGTTATTTTAATCCCTCTCATTCATGACTATGAAGGTAAAAGTGGAACTCATGCATGATATACTGACAAGCAATGTATGCTAACAGGGAATCCTAAAGCAAGCAATAATGCTAAAAAAAAAAAAAAAAGTCATATTTGTGGACAGGCTATATTACATTCTACAGAAATGTAGATACTATAAGTAAAGATTTGGAGGATAGAGTTTGGACACCATTTGACTGATTTAATCAAGGTGTGACTTTTATGTCTGCCACAGAAAATAGCAAAGTGTATATTACAGGTATTTTTCACAGATCCCATCTCTCTCTGAAAAAGAAGCAAAAACAATTACATCTACAAATACAGAAGATCGTCTGATATCACAAATAGAAAGCAAAATACCCGACATGTGTACCCCTAATCTTCTTTATTCACCACCAACTGAGCCACACATGATGTGTGTGATTGTATTTGTTTATGAGAGTATTACAAACAGTTATTTAGACCACACCGTACATTATGATTACCTGATTTAGGGCTTAAAATAACTGCTAAATTTCCTCTGGGGGTGACTACATAGCACTGAAGGAAGAACTGGGCTGCTACACAGTTACTCAGGGATTAAGTAAAATTAAAAGAAGAATGTTTACATTTGAGATTACATCTCAAATTGAGCTCTCACAATACACTGAGATTTCAGGTAATACAAAGCTAAATCCCTTTTGTCAGCTGGTCCTAAGACTTACTGATCAAATAACTATATACCGTTCAACTTCAAACCAAGACTGCATTCTAACCCCTAATCCAAAGTTGTTGTTTTTTTATCTGAAGCATCAAATAAACTCAGGACGAAGCTGGGAGATTCAAGTAGGGACACTATCTGCAGTGGCCCTTACTCACATCTATGATGTGTTCTCCCTGCTGAAGAGGAAGAAAGAAAGAAAGAAAGAAAGAAAAGTGGACTGGAGTTAAAACTCTGTGGTGTTGCTAGGTCAAAGACAGTTTTATGTACAATCCACATGAATCAGAAATTTGCGTTATCACAATGTATGCATGCATGAAAATGTCTTTAGTGACTATACTCTAGCCATAAAGAAAAGATGTTAACCATCAGATCAAAGAGTCTGTATCCCTGCACAAGAGGTAGAGACAAAGCTGTATTCCCCCCTTAAGATGACAAATAGTATTAACAGCATACCTTCACGCAAAAAGGAGGACACAAGTCAAAGCAATAAAAAATGATTATGTCAAAATAAAATATTATCAAAATAAAAGATATTTTGTTTTTGTCAAAATAAAATCTTGACATAATCCGTCTTACATATTTAAAACTCACACACATACTAACAGAGATTTGTCTTTCTTTTCATTCATGTTCTTTTCATTTTAATGTGGTTATTAATTTTATTTTACTTAATGAGTTGTGTTTTTCTCTTTCCCTCCTTAGTTTTTAATTGCATCATCCTTCACGCTATGGCAGTATTGTCCACCTGACGTTCACACCAGAAAGAACATAATGAACTGAGTTGAGAAAAACACAATGTGATAGTCCGAGCAAGACAGAGAGAGCAACAGAGAGATTTTGGTAGAAAGTTCAGGTGGTACAGACTGTTTGAGCTGCGCCAAAGCCAAAACGCCACTGAAACACTATCTATTTGAGCTTATAGGTTCATCAACAGACTCACTGTCACATCTTCACAGCTCAGCAACAGTTCTGGCAGTTGCATAGATTCAGTTGGCTTTTTTTTTTCTTCTTTAAACTTGACTTCCGCCTCTTTTCTCTTTCATTCTATCAACCCTGCCAATAACATCCAAGGCCCCAGGGTTGCTATGGTTTCCCTGGATTCCAGTGCAATGGTGATTGGCTGTTGAGGAAATTGTGGTAGACATGGAGCTGTGTGAATAGGGAGCTTACTGTGACCCTGACAGAATGCACTGTATTCATATTTACTTTGAGGACCTTGGTTAAACAGCCACTCGAAATAAAGCTCAATGGGCCTACTCACTGGCTGGTATGTGCTGAGTTCATGTTGTGGCAGATAGAGGAGAATGATGTGAAAAAGGAAAAAAAAAATATTTATAATGTTTTTTACAAATCGCAAAAGCAGAGCTCTACAATTCATTGTTATGTGACACACGATGGAAGGAAGCAATTTACCAAATTTTTTTTACAATTTAACAAAGCAATGACATTTGCAGTAAAAATGCAACAAAAAACACTATAATAAAGTACAGGTGTTTTCTGTACTATCTTAATAACTAAGAAAACACACTGCAATATGTGCCAGCAAAAATGGGATGTATGAGACTGAAGAATAAGTTGCAGACAATAGCTGAAAGAGGAAAACAAAGATCTCTTTGTTAATACAGTCAAGAGTGGAATACAGCAACACACTGTAACCTGTGTTTCTAAAAGTTGGAACTCGGTAGTGCATAGGATGTGAATGTGCATACTACTATGTACTCCTGCTAAATTCTCTAAATTGTAAATTGTCATGGGAAATTGATAACAAAAAATTGCACTGTGCTTGTGCTGTGTGTTCTAAGTGTGTTATATCAATACTGGATGTTGAATGCATTGACTCTAAACCATCTAAGATGTAGGATGAGGAATGTGTGAAAGTGACATGAGGCAGCACTCTAAATAAACTGAGGCACACCGATTTTGACTCACGCTGTAACACAAACTCTAAATATGTAAAAAAGCAGCGGGCCAAATTGCTGGTACTGCTCCTTGGAATATTATTTATTTAAATATTAGTTATTTTTTGTGTATATAATGTGGGAATTATTTATTTATTTATTACTTACATTGTAAAGTAGCTCCTGACTCAAGGACCACTTACTATTTTACACGTATTCCTCAGTAGATACCACAGTGAGTGGCGGGACACTGGTAACCACAATAATCTCATTCACCTGTAAGCATAGCTACATGTAGCATAGCCCATATGGGTGCATCAGACATACAAAGATGGCTGCTAATTAGTAACCTACAAATAAATACTTGGTCAGTCTGTTAGTACATATATAACAAGTCATACTGTAAGTGAGGTAGCTGTATTGAAAATGCTAAGAAAGGAATCAACAAAACAAATGGTCAGGATGTCCAGTTCAACTGGTCAAATTAGATAAGGTGCCACCAGTTGCAGTCAAAGTAGCCTATACACTCAGCCACTTTGTTAAGTACACCTTAACAAAGTAGTTCTCGGGGTGTACCTCCCTTTGCCTTCAGAAGTGGCTTAATTCTTTATAGCATAGATTCCACAGGGTGCTGAAAACATTCCTCAGAGAGTTTGTTCATTATTGACACGATAGAAACACAAAGTTGCTGCAGGTAGTCAGCTGCACATCCACAATACATTCAGACTGAGATCTGGTGACTGTGAGATTATCGGATTTTTGTGACAAGCTGGAAGCAGCCCTCAGAAGATGGGTGCATTGTGGTGATAAAGAAATAGAATTGGTCAGCAACAATACTTGTGTAGGCCGTAGAATCCAAAGTGTTTCATGAAAAGATGTCCTGCATCACCACCAGCCTGCACCACCTAGCACCACCGCCAGCCTGAAACACTGATATAATCTTTATGCTTTCAGGTTGTTTCCACCTATCATCCAGATGTTGCAGCAGAGATCATGACTGATCAGACCCAACTACAGTTTTCCAGTGTTCTGCCGTCCAATTTCACTTAGCCTGTGGGAATGGTAGCCTCAGTTTCCTGTTCTTAGCTGACAGGAGTGGCACCCGGCATAGTCTTCTGTTGCTGTTGCTGATCTGCTTCAAACTGAATAAGTTGTGCATTCATAGATGTTCCTCTGCATACCTCGGCTGTAACAAGCGGTTATTTGAGTTGCTGCTGCCTTCCTATCAGCACAAAGCACTCTGACCATCCTTCTCTGACTTTTTGCATCAACAAGGCATTTTTGCCCACATAACTCCTGCTCGCTGAATATTTTCTACTTTTGGATCAGTCTCTTTAAACCCTAGTTTAAAGAGACCCTAGTTTGTGCAGGAAAATCCCAGTAGATCAGCAGTTTCTGAAATACTAAGACCAGCCCAGCTGGCACGAACAATAATGCCAT